GGGGGGCTCTTATTTAAATCAGGTGTGCTGGCACAGAGGCGTATCTAAAACATGTAGGGCCCTGAGGACTAGGGTTGGGAACCACTGATCTTGCAGGGGACATAAATAGAAATATTACAGTATTTTGAATAATTGTCCCAAACACACAACCTATGAGACCAGGTTCAGCGCCCTTGAATCTGAAATGGTGATATAGCTTCGTCGTATAAAGTTGTGGTAGTTGCACATCATTAAAATGCAGGGGCAGGTAAAACCTTGCTTGCGTAGCTCTAGTTTAGGTAGAACCCTGTTCCATTTTGGTCTATGAAGCATATTGTTTCAAGTGGCTTGAATTAAGCAGGAAGAGAAACATGTGACAAAGTTGAACAATTCAGCTATGGAAATCTTCGTAAAGAAAGTTTTTCGGAATCTCCTGGTAAACCTGAATTGTTGTTCTCAGTATAGGTTTTTCTGAAAAACGCATTGCATGCATAGCAAGCAGGGAAGACTCGGTCATGCACAATCTTTAAAAGTATCTCTACAAACTGGAGTACTTTACCATTGGCGGGAGCTTCACAGTACACAAAATGGGTAAAGTGAAACAGTGATTTTCTTTGAGCAACAAACACATTCCCCACCCTGCTTGTTTTCACACAATGCATTGTGTTAAAACAAAGCAATGCCCCCTCTGTATGTGTAGTGTGAAAAAATGCCATTGGATCTTGTAGAGTTTTATGCAAGCTATGTGTTATAGCAATCACTTTCACTAAATAAGGTTAGAGGGTTGTCCCCAGCCTATTTATGCATAAAAGCATAAACTCATTGAAATTTTGCAGAAATTAGACCATTGTACTGACTTTTAAGAATGGTAATAGAAAAAAGAAATTTTAGACTCTGAGTCCGTCCTTTTGTTATTAGAGCCCAATCTCACAAACTTTCTCCATAAAGAGCCATGATATCTTCCCATGAGCATATCCTCAAAGCCACATAGAAAGCCTTCCCATAGGAGTTTAAACCATTTTAGTGGCAAAGTGTTGGGCCACATTACGCCCTGTATCAAGTACATGGTGTCATCAATGTTTGTGTGTGGTGTGTGTAACACAAAGTATCTGACTGACCCGCACCATTTTTATTCTTGTTCTTCTGTCCATCTTAAAAAAGGGTTTAGGTGGCCAGTAGGCCGTCTGATTTTGGATCTGCTCTGTCCTGCAAACAGCCTGCAGACAGACCCTCCTGCTCAGGAAACTATGCTGATGCTTCTTAAGAGGATTGTTTTTTTTTTTTTTTTACCAGAACTCCTTGCTCATTAAGATGATGCAATCCAGTAGCAAAGAGCAATGCCCCCCTGACTTTCCTATTTAGTGTAATATGTGTCAGCCGAGTCTTCCTCCCCAAGGCACCATCTTGGTTATTCGTCATTTTACCAAGACTAATGTCATCCTAATGCATCAACCATGACACACCAGTCAGCAATTTACTTCTTAAATTATACTGCTCCTAGAATAAATGTAAAAGATTAATAGCTTAATTTGTTGAAGAAGGGATAGCTAGCTCTGTGGCATGGGTTGTTTGTGCAGTTCTAGATCCACATGTTTTAATCAGACATGGGCAATGTGGAGTCAACAAGTCATCTCCATGTCATGTATTTTTGTTACCCAGCCACTGAAGCAGGTGAGTCCAATCTTCACCGTGAATTAACCTGTGCATATTGGACTCACCTGGTTAATTGGCTGGGTAGATTAAATACATGACATGGAGATGACTTGTTGACTCCACATTGCCCATGTCTGGTTTTAATATTAGGTTGAGTTTGCATCTTCTTTTTACTCAACAAATGTCAGCAATAGATAAACCATAGCGTACAGTTTTCAAAAGATCATCTAATGAGTTTGCCTCGCATTAGGCAGGTTGAATGTAACCTGACAACAGCCAGATGCATGTCTAGCTCCGCCTAGCTCCACTCACATACATCTGGGACCCCGCTCATTGAAAGTGATTTCCCCAACCAAATTTATGGTCTGGCCAATCAGGACGCAGGGCGGGTGTTTCCTGGATGTGACGTAGTGGAGAAGCGAGTTCTGTAAGTCATTCATCTATACTTTTTTGGTTGGTTTCTTTTTTTAAAATAAGTCTGCTGTGCACAATGTTGCCTTTTATCTGCACATTTTCATGGCACAAACGACACTGATCATTTACCGACATTGCGCTTATTCCACTGTTGCTATATCCAAGATGTCGGCTGTTCTGTTTAGTTTTTTTCCTGCGTAGCTCTCATAGCGTCAGGGGTTAGCTTCGGTGTGAGTGGTTGAAATAGCACGTCGATAAAGATGACAGACAAGTGGCTTATCCAATCATATGCAAGGAGTTTTGATAACGCCCAGCCTTCAGTAAAGGCAATTCCTATAGCGGTGTTCCAGATGTATGTGAGTGGAGCTAG